AGTGAAGGGCAGAAAACAGTCACAGGTCAGTCTAAATGAAATAAATGAGCAGTTGTAAAGAATATTGCAAAAACAAAATCCTCCGGGTTTCCCCCACAGTCCAAACACATGCGCTGTAGGGGAATTGAATAAACTAAATTGGCCGAAGTGTATGAGTGTGTGTGTATTGATGTTTCCCAGTACTTGGTTTGCAACTGGAACGTCATCCACTGCGTAAAACATATGCTGGATAAGTTGGCGGTTCTTTCCGCTGTGTCGACCTCTGATTCTGATGAATAAAGAGACTAAGCTGAAGGAAAATGAATGAATGCTTATGTTCATAAAATATTCAACAGAATTAATTTTGTACTTTTTGAAAAACCTCACATAATCAAAAAGATTATGACTAATAAATAAATTAACATCATTTAAGATTAATAAATGCTTTGACAGTTGTCATAACATTAACTTTAGTTAATGTTATGTAAACAGTTAAATAACTGTTGTTACCAAATGGAGCCTAATGCCCCATTGACACGGGGTGTCAGCGTCAATGCTTCCCATTCACTTTGAATGGGCGACATTAGCCGTTGCTGAACTGCATTATCAGTTGAGCCAATCAGACATCTTTATGCAAATACCCCAGCCCAGACAAAAGCCAATTGCGGACTAATTACATTGGCTGACACTGCTATGACAATCACGTCAGCCCCAACTTCAGACACTCCCTCAAGCTTTAATGCTGAAGCCCCGTGCGAATGCACGATTACTGTACTGAAAATGTTTATGTTTAAGGCTTCTAGCATTTGGTCATATGATAAACATCCAATGTATGTAAAAACATGTAGCTGAATAAAGCTATACTGTGTTTCAGGCATCATTGCAGTGAATGCGTTTGTGTTTTGTTGTTGGCGGGTTCCCTCTCTGCAGCACTTGATGGTGAAGTACTTCACATCAAACCCTTCCTCAAGTGAGTGGACTCTTCTGTGTATCTGTTTTTATTCACTGCATCTGAATAACTAATGTCTTTTAAGGTCAGTCATGTTTACCTCGCATCAATATGACACATTCTGTGTAGGATATAATTATTATGTAGGAGTTCTTTTAGTTTTGGATTTACATGTTATCCTCAAATCTAATAAAAAATGTAAATACTGTATATAGCATGCTGTACATACCATAAAAAAAAGTATAATTTGAATTTTATTTCACTAAACATGCACAAGTTTCATGGTTGCATATGCCTGGTAGTACTTTGGCGAGGGCAAATCTGAAATTATTCTAATGATGCTACTAAAATGATTAATATTTTGGTCATTAAAATCTGCAAATGAAATTCAAATATTTGTTTTGGATCACAAGAATAAATAGTTAAACTAAATGTATTGGCAACAAACTAAAATGTGTTTAAATAGAAGCACTAAAAATGCTAACTGGCCATGAATAAAAACTAAAATTTATATTAAAACTAGATTAAAAAGTTTGTCAAGACAAACTTTAGGCTGGCTTAAGAAAGCTTAGTCTGAAAGGTTTAAAGGTAGATGAAAGTAGCTGATAATATAGAAGTTATAATAATAAAAATTACTAAATTAAATCTGGTTCTAGATCTGGTTCATTCCATTTTAAAATTGTTATCTGTTTTACACAGATATTTAGTCTTGTTTCAGATCTGGTTTACCTTGTTATTTAATTCGGATTCAGGTTTGGTTTTTGCAGTAATTTGATCTGGTGTACACATATTTTAAATCTGGATTTTGATCTGGTTTACACAGTTTTTTAATCTGGATTGAGACCTGTTTTTTACCGTTTATTAATCAGGATTCAGATCTGGTAAGGTTAAAAAAAAAATCTGGATTCATATCTGATTCACAAAATTTATGAATTTGGATTCAGTCTTGGTTTACACCAAAGTATAATCTGGATTCAGATCTGGTGTACACAGTGATATAATCTGGATTCAGATCTAGTATACACAGTAATATAATCTGTTTTCATATCTGGTTTAAATAGTTTTTAAAAGTCTGGATCCATATCTGATTCACATGGTTGTTTAATCTGATTTTACATCTTGTTTACAGAGCTTTTATTTATCTTTATTTAAATCTGATTTACACTTTTACCTTATTAATTCTGCATAGGGATCTGCTTTACACAGTATTTTAATAAGGATTCAGATCTAGTTTACATTATTTTTAAAATCTGGATTGTGATCTGGTTTATAATATAATCAGGGTTCACATCTGGTTGGCACATTAATATAATCAGGATTCAGATGTGGTTTATACAGTAATATAATCTGAATTCAGGTCTGGTCTGCACATTAATATAAGCAGGATTCAGATCCTGTTTATACAGTAATATAATCTGCATTCAGATCTGGTTTACACAGTAATATATTCATAATTCAGGTCTGGTCTGCACATTAATATGATCAGGATTCAGATCTGGTTTATACAGTAATATGATCAGAATTCAGATCTGGTTTACACAGTCATATAATCTGCATTCAGATCTGATTTACACAGTTTTTATAATCTGGATTGTGACCTGGTTTATACAGTAAAATAATCAGGGTTCAGAATTGGTTTACACAGTAATATAATCTGCATTCAGATCTGGTTTATACAGTAATATAATCTGGATTCAGATCTGGTTTACACAGTAATATAATCAGGATTCAGATCTGGTTTACACAGTCATATAGTCAGGATTCAGATCTGGTTTACACAGTAATATAATCAGGATTCAGATCTGGTTTATACAGTAATATGATCAGGATTCAGATCTGGTTTACACAGTCAAATATTCTGCATTTAGATCTGATTTACACAGTTTTTAAAATCTGGATTGTGACCTGGTTTATACAGTAAAATAATCAGGGTTCAGATTTGGTTTTCACATTAATATAATCTGCATTCAGATCTGGTTTATACAGTAATATAATCTGGATTCAGATCTGGTTTATACAGTAATATAATCAGGATTCAGATCTGGTTTACACAGTAATATAATCAGGATTCAGATCTGGTTTATACAGTAATATGATCAGGATTCAGATTTGGTTTACATAGTCATATATTCTGCATTTAGATCTGATTTACACAGTTTTTAAAATCTGTATTTTGACCTGGTTTATACAGTAAGATAATCAGGGTTCAGATTTGGTTTACACAGTAATATAATCTGCATACAGATCTGGTTTATACAGTAATATAATCTGCATTCAGATCTGATTTATACAGTAATATAATCAGGATTCAGATTTGGTTTACACAGTAATATAATCTGCATACAGATCTGGTTTATACAGTAATATAATCTGGATTCAGATCTGGTTTATACAGTCATATAATCAGGATTCAGATCTGGTTTATACAGTAATATAATCAGGATTCAGATCTGATTTACACAGTAATATAATCAGGATTCAGATCTGGTTTATACAGTAATATGATCTGCATTCAGATCTGGTTTATACAGTAATATTCATGATTCAGATCTGGTTTATACAGTAATATGATCAGAATTCAGATCTGGTTTACACAGTCATATAATCTGCATTCAGATCTGATTTACACAGTTTTTATAATCTGGATTGTGACCTGGTTTATACAGTAAAATAATCAGGGTTCAGAATTGGCTTACACAGTAATATAATCTGGATTCAGATCTGGTTTATACAGTAATATAATCTGGATTCAGATCTGGTTTATACAGTAATATAATCAGGATTCAGATCTGATTTACACAGTAATATAATCAGGATTCAGATCTGGTTTATACAGTAATATGATCAGGATTCAGATCTGGTTTACACAGTAATATAATCTGCATTCAGATCTGGTTTACACAGTAATATAATCTGGATTCAGATCTGGTTTATACAGTAATATAATCAGGATTCAGATCTGGTTTACACAGTAATATAATCCGGATTCAGATCTGGTTTATACAGTAATATGATCAGGATTCAGATCTGGTTTACACAGTCATATATTCTGCATTTAGATCTAATTTACACAGTTTTTAAAATCTGGATTGTGACCTGGTTTATACAGTAAAATAATCAGGGTTCAGATTTGGTTTTCACAGTAATATAATCTGGATTCAGATCTGGTTTATACAGTAATATAATCTGCATTCAGATCTGATTTATACAGTAATATAATCTGCATTCAGATCTGGTTTATACAGTAATATAATCAGGATTCAGATCTGGTTTACACAGTAATATAATCTGCATTCAGATCTGATTTACACAGTTTTTAAAATCTGTATTGTGACCTGGTTTATACAGTAATATGATCAGGGTTCAGATCTGGTTTACACCATACTATAATCTGGATTGTGATCTGCTTTCAGAGGCGCTGTGCTGGCCGATGCTGCTGTCTACATTCAGTCACTATTCTCTCTTCCATTTGTCCGCCAACATGTACGTGTTGTGGAGTTTCTCCTCCAGCATCATCAATATGATGGGCAAAGAGCAGTTCATGGCTCTCTACCTCTCCACAGGTGTGTGCATATGTAAACACAAAAACATCACTATAAATATTTCTGCATTATTAGACTTGAATGTTTTTGTCCTCTATCCTCAGGTGTGATCTCCACATTTGTCAGTTATGTCAGTAAAACAGCGATGGGCCGGTTGGGTCCATCATTAGGAGCGGTGAGTGTGTTTTTCACATTAGTTTAACACATCGGGTGAATGTGTTACACAGATTGTTGTGTTGGGTAAATCCCCATAGACTTCCATTCATATGCATACAAATGCTGCAGGCCGAGAACACAAGCTTGCACGACAACTTTCGCACGTTGCTGAATTCCAAAGTTCAAGCTTGGAGAACTCTCACCTGCGATTTAATAAAAATTGCCAAATTAAATCTGCTTCTAGATCTGGTTCATGACATTTTTCGATCTTGGTTGTGATCTGTTTTACACAGTTATTAGGTCTAGATTCAGATCTGGTCTATTGGTCTACACTGTTATTTAATCTGGATTCAGATCTGGTTTACACAGTTTTTTTTCTGGACTCATATCTGGCCTACAATCTGGATTTAGACCTAGTTTATACTGTTATTTAATGAGAATTTAGATCTGGTTTAAATGTTACTGTTTTTTATTTGGTTTAAATGTTTTTTTTAAATCGTAATTATTTAATCTAGATGCAGTCTTGGTGGACACAAGTATAATCAGGATTCATATCTGATGTACACAGAAATATAATCTGGATTCTGATCTGATGTACACAGAAATATAATCTGGATTATGATCTGATGTACACAGAAATATAATCTGGATTCATATCTGATGTACACAGAAATATAATCTGGATTCATATTTGATGTACACAGAAATGTAATCTGCTTTCAGATCTGGTCTGCACATTAATATAATCTACATTCAGATCTGGTTTATACAGTAATATGATCAGGATTCAGATCTGGTCTGCACATTATTATAATCAGGATTCAGATCTGGTTTATACAGTAATATGATCAGAATTCAGATCTGGTTTACACAGTCATATAATCTGCATTCAGATCTGATTTACACAGTTTTTAAAATCTGGATTGTTACCTGGTTTATACAGTAAAATAATCAGGGTTCAGATTTGGTTTACACAGTAATATAATCTGCATTCAGATATGGTTTATACAATAATATAATCAGGATTCAGATCTGGTTTATACAGTAATATATTCATGATTCAGGTCTGGTCTGCACATTTATATAATCAGGATTCAGATCTGGTTTATACAGTAATATGATCAGGATTCAGATCTGGTGTACACAGTCATATAATCTGCATTCAGATCTGGTTTATACAGAAATATATTCGTGATTCAGGTCTGGTCTGCACATTTATATAATCAGGATTCAGATCTGGTTTATACAGTTATATAATCAGGATTCAGATCTGGTTTACACAGTCATATAATCTGCATTTAGATCTGGTTTACACAATAATATAATCTGCATTCAGATCTGGCTTACACAATAATATAATCTGCATTCAGATGTGGTTTATACAGAAATATATTCATGATTCAGGTCTGGTCTGCACATTTATATAATCAGGATTCAGATCTGGTTTATACAGTAATATAATCAGGATTCAGATCTGGTTTATACAGTCATATAATCAGGATTCAGATCTGGTTTATACAGTCATATAATCAGGATTCAGATCTGGTTTATACAGTAATATGATCAGGATTCAGATCTGGTTTACACAATAATATAATCTGCATTGGATTCTGATCTGATGTACATAGGTTTAAATAGTTTTTAAAAATCTGGATTGAATTTGCATCACATGATGTGCTCAGCAGATTTTCAGCGAATAAGTCATTTAATTAGAGCATTGTTTCTCAACCACCTTCCTGGATGACCTCCAGCACTGCATGTTTTGGATGTCTCCTTTGTCAGTCGCACCGATTACAGCCTTTTCAGCTGGTGATCTGAATCAGGTGTGTAAGGTTAAGGAGACATGGGGTGCATCTGAAATCGCATACTTCCATACTATATAGTATGCTAAAAACAGTATGTGAGCTCAGTAGTAAGTCTGAATTCTTAGTTTTCGAAAAACAGTATGCGAGAAGTACCCGGATGACTTGGTAAATCTGGTAAGATTCTGAAGTGTGCATTCAATGCACGCTACACTATCCCATTATGCACCATGAAAGAATTGAGTCATGTGATGTTGACAAAATGGCGGATGTAGTACGTCCTGAGTTCAATTCATACTACTGACATTTGAGGTTGAGTAGTACATTTAAATTCAAATGCATTACCTACTGAGTAGGAAATTTCGGATGCAGTCATGGATTGTGTGCAGAATTGGTGCTCCTCCAGGAACGTGGTGGAGAAAAACTGAATTTGAGTAGCTAATTACACCCCACACTGTGTGTCAGTCAGGGGCCATCATGGCGGTTCTAGCAGCTGTTTGCACAAAAATGCCTGAAGCCAAACTGGCCATCATCTTCCTCCCGATGTACACCTTCACCGCCGGAAACGTGAGTGTTTGTCAGAGACAGAGTTTATGATTGTGATTTGAATGTAATTCTGTGCACATAATGATCATGTTATGTTTTTTCTGTCAACAGGCTCTCAAAGCCATCGTCGCCTTGGATACAACAGGTTTGATTCTGGGATGGCGGTTTTTTGATCACGCCGCTCATTTAGGCGGAGCTTTATTCGGCATGTGAGTAAGATGTCAATGATGAAAAATTGCCTTAATTAATTGGAATAACACTAAAAGGAAATACAGATGATTGTTGTAATTGCATTGGGATTTTTTTATGGATTCTCGATTAGGTTTATGCAATAATTCAATCATGTTTTTGGTGTTTTATCACTTTCTTTAAAATTTTAAAAGCATAGAAAATAAGTTTAGGTACTATAATTAATATAAATAGAATTTAAAAACAATTTACAGGGTGTCTGCAGGGTCTTATAAAGAGTTAAAAGTTGATAAATCAATTATGAGAAAATAAAGGCCCTTAAAATGTATTAAAGTCTTAATCATGTTTTTATGAGGTCTTAAAAGTTTGTTCAAGCGTTGTCCAAAGTGTTTGACTGCAAAAAAGCATAAATCAATTAATTTTCCTCCTAATATTAACAACGGCGTGCTCGACCCCTCTTCAGGCCGGGGCGCGTCCGGCCAAGTTCCTCCGTCCTGGTGATGTTACCAAATTTGCGACAAACACGGGAAGGTGATATGACGCTGTCCACATGTAGCGAAACCATAGAGCGAAACAGATGGGAAAATGTAAGTTTGCGTACTCCTGGTTAGAGAAAGACCAGTTTAAACACTGGCTGAAGCCTGTCACTGAAAACAACCGCATAAACTAGGCCCACACGGAATCTGCGCACGCAAAATTCAGCAGATTTTCCGCAGATTTTTAGCCCATTATTAATTCTGTTTATTTACTTGAGTAAATGTGTAAATCTGAATTTATTCAGTTTTTATTCAGTAATTTCTTACTTTTTATTTAATGTATTAAAGTTTTAGTTATGATACTCTGCTGGATACTCCCAAAATAATTCCGCAGAAATCCGCAGATTTTTACCAAAATTCTCCACAGAAATAGCAAAAAATGTCCGCAGATTCCGTCTGGCCCTGCGCATAACTTATTCTCTCAAGCTGTTTCTTCTGAGCTTATGGGAGTTCTGTTGCATGGTTGTGCTCCATTGATTTATTTAACTACAACTCTTTATTAACAATTGTTTATTAAGTTACAGGTTTGATACTGATTAGAACTTGAAGTGGCGATGAGGTCTTAAAATATTCTGAGGTCTTTAAAAGGTATTGAAATTGATTAAACCTAAATAAAAATAATAAACAAAAACTATTTAAAAAAAGCCTCACAAAATGTTTTAATTAAAATGAAAATATAAAATTGGAAAATAAATGTTGATTCAAAATATTATTCTATACTATTGAAATATTAAGAAAGAGCACATACTAAACTCATTAAAATAAAGCTGATGAAATGAATAGCATAAATAAATACTGCAACATAAAATACATGAATAAAACAAAAGCGTACTAAATGTCGAGTTTAAAATTTAATAATTTAAATACACAATAATAAATATTAAAATAAATATTTACAGAAATATGTATATAAAAACTATTTTTGTTCTGATCAAAACTAAAAAGCGTATTAATTTACTAAAATAGTGGTGCAGTGGGTAGCACGTTCGCCTCAAAGCAAGAAGGTCGCTGGTTCGAGCCTCGGCTGGGTCAGTTGGCATTTCTGTGTGGAGTTTGGAGGTGCTCCGGTCTCCCCACAAATCCAAAAACAAGTGGTATTGGTGAATTGGGTAGGCTAAATTGTCCATAGTGTATGTGTGTGAATGAGTGTGTATAGATGTTTCCCAGTGATTGGCTGGAGCCGGAAGGGCATCCACTGCGTAGAACACATTTCGCTGTGGCGACCCCTGAATAATAAAGAGACAAAGCCGAAAAGAAATTGAATAAATGATTGAATTAATTTACTAAAATGTCAAATTAAAAACTGTAAATATATTAAAAGCTAACTAAAAAGAACCATAAACACTAACAAAAATGTTTTAAAATAGTACTTTAAAGTCAACATGTGAAATTGAAAGCTAAGGTTCATTGCATGGAAGCCAAATCACCCTGCAGCCCAAGAGCGGTTACTCAGCAGGGCTGAGCCTGGTCAGTATCTGGTTGGGAGACTACATGGGAAAACTACGCTGCTGTTGGAAGTGGTGTTAGTGAGGCCAGCAGGGGGCGCTCAACCTGCAGTCTGTGTGAGTCCTAATGCCCCAGTAATGTAAAGGGGACACTATACTGTCAGTGAGCTCCATCTTTCAGATGAGACTCTCTGTGGTCGTTAAAAATCTCACGGCAATTCTGGTTAAAAGCATGGGTGTAACCCTGGTGTCTTGGCCAAATTCCCTCCATTTGCTCTTAATCATCATGGCCTCCCAATCATCACCATCCACTGAATTGGCTCTATCACTGTCTCTCCACTCCCCTATTGCTGGTGTGTGGTGAAGCTCTGGTACCGTTGTCCTGTGGCTGCCATCGTACTATCCAAGTGGATGCTGCACACTGGTGGTGGTGTGGAGAGACCTCCCTCTCATGATTGTGAAGTGCTTTGGGTGTATGGCCATACACAATAAATGCACTATATAAATACACATTACATTACATTAATTTAAAATTGCCTTTAAAAGCTCATTTAAAATATAAAAGCATCTAAATCTATAAAGTCAAAACAACAAATCCACAAAAAAGCATCGAAAACATTCAAATAAAAGATAAAAATATTACAATTTCAAACTTAATGCAAATTAAAACACTTCAAAATATTACTAACTATTGAAGAAACATAAAAACAACAGCAGCATATCAAATCTAAACTAACTCCTAAAACTTGGAAATAAAAAATATATATATAAATATAAAAGTTAGTCAAACAATATTAATAAATATTTCTATACTGATAAATCAGAAACCCTCTGATCTTAATGTGGCCACAAGATACATTTAAAACACATTTCAATAGATAAACATGTTTATTTTGTAAACATCAAACATGTTGATGTGTTTTCTTCTCTAGCTGGTACATCATATATGGGCATGAGCTCATCTGGAAGAACCGAGAGCCGCTGGTGAAACTGTGGCATGACTTCAGATCACGAGGACCAGGAGGTGGCAGCAACGGCTCCATTTAGAGCAGTGCATGATGGAAAGAAACCGAGCAGGTGACTGGAGGAGATAAAAAGGACACAGATATTCCTGCACTGATGTGTTTTCACTATCGCTGTGGTGTGGTAATGCCCTGCCCCCGAGTTTAAATGTGAACAAAATGAGCTCCGCCCCCAGGGTTACATTTGAATCCAGTGAGCTCCACACACTAACATTAAAGTCGAATAAAATGAGCTCCACCCCTAATTTAAATTTGAATAAAATGAGCTACGTCCCTAGCTTAAGTTTGAATGAAATGAGCTCCACCCACCAAGATTAAATTTAAAACAAATATACTTCGCCAATCACAAGTTAAATTTGAATAAACTGAGCTCCACCTCATAGTTTAAATTTGAATGAAATTAGCTCTACCCCAAGGTTAAATTTAAATCAAATGAGCTCCGCCGACCAAGGGAAAGTTTGAATAAAAGGCTCCACCTTTAAGGTTAAATTTGAACAAAATGAGCTTCAACTACCAAGTGTAAATTTTAATGACATTAGCTACACCCTCAGGGTTGTATTTAAATATCATAAGCTCCACCCCATGTTTACATTTGAATCTACTGAGCTCCGCCCCCACCAAGTTTAAGTTTGAATAAAATGAGATCCGCCCACCAAGGTTAACGTTGAATAGAATGAGCCCCACCTACCAAGGTTGAATTTAAATAAAGTGAACCCCACCTTCCAAGGTTAAATTTAAATAAAATAAGCTCCACCCCCACATTTAAATTTGAATAAAATGAACTCCGCCCCCTGTTTGAATTGGATTAAAATAATCTGTCTCCAAGATTTAATTTAAACAAAATAAGTTCCAGCCTCAAGGTTAAATTTAAATAAAAAGAGCTCCACCCATCAAGTTTAAATGTGAATAGAATTATCTCCGCTTCCCTTGTTTAAATTTAAATAAAATGAGCCCCACCCCCTTGGTTAAATTTAAATAAAATAATGTTCAACCCCTAAGGTGAATTTTGAATAAAATGAGCTCCACCCTCAGGGTAAAAGTTGAATAAAATGAGCCCAATGTTAAATTTAAATTAAATGAGCTTCACCCACCAAGTTTGAATTTGAATAAAGTGAGTTCTGCCAACCGAGGTTAAATGTGAACAAAATGAGCTCCACCCCTAAGGTTTATTTTAAATAAATTAAACTCCACCCCCAAGGTTACAATTAAATAAATTGAACTCCACCCACCAACGTCAAACTGAAAATCACACCAAATTTAAATAAAGTCAGTTCTGCCCACCAAGGTTAAATTTAAATAAATTGAGCTCCACCCCAAGATTAAATTTAAATCCAGTGAGCTCCACCCATAAGGTTTAATTTAAATAAATTGAGCTCCACCCACCAAGGTTAAATTTAAGTAAAATGAGCTCCACCAACCAAGGTTAAATTTGAATAACGTGAGTTCTACCCACCAAGGTTAAATGTGAATAAATTAAGCTCCACCCCTAAGGTTAAATTTAAATAAAATGAGCTCCACCCCAAGGTTAAGTTTAAATAAAATGAGCTCCACCCACCAAGGTTAAATGAAATGAGCTTCACCCCAAGATTAAATTTAAATCCAGTGAGCTCCACCCCTATGGTTTAATTTAAATAAACTGAGCTTCATCTTCAAGGTTAAATTTAAATAAAATGAGCTCCACCTACCAAGGTTAAGTTTGAATAAAGTTAGTTCTGCCCACCAAGGTTAAATGTGAACAAAATGAGCTCGACCCCTAAGGTTTAATTTAAATAAATTGAGCTCCACCCCTACGATTTAATTTAAATAAACTGAGCTCCACCCCTATGATTTAATTTAAATAAATTGAGCTCCACCCACCAAGGTTAAATTGAAATAAAATTAGCTCCACTCACCAAGGTTAAAGTTGAATAACGTGAGTTCTGCCCACCGAGATTAAATGTAAACAAAATGAGCTCCACCCCTAAAGTTTTGTTTAAATAAATTGAGCTCCACCACAATATTTAATTTAAATAAATTGAGCTCCTCCAATCAAGGTTAGATTTAAACAAAATGAGCTTAAACCCCAAGGTTAAATTTTAATCAAATGAGCTCCGCCTACCAAATTTATATTTAAATAAAGTCAGTTCTGCCCACCAAGGTTTAAATTTGAATAAAATAAGCTCCACCCCCAAGGTTAAATTTGAATCCAGTAAGTTTCACCCACTTGGCAAAAAAGCAAATGTGGTTAAGAGGCGGAGCTTCAACTCCCACCACAGCGACTGCTGTACATCTGAGTGAACACGAAACGACAACATGTACAGAATGTGTATGATTAATATAGTCTGTAATTGTCATTCAAGAATAAAATGATTATTTAAAGTTGTCTAATCAGAAATGAGCAGGCGCGTGGCTTTGTTTTATTTGCTGTTAGCCTGTTTAATGTCTTCTGCTTGCGTTTTGTTTATTTTCTGGGTTTCAGATGAGACTTTGCTCCCTGTTAAATGTGAATGATTAACCAGGTTTGTCTATAACACACACACACACACACACACACACACACACATATATGTCATCAGTAGAAACGGTTTCAGTGTTGTTTTCTCTGATTGGTCAAAGTTCAATAACAGTCATGGTGTCATAATAACTGATGAACAATGTGCCTGTTTTCCACTTCCTCATGTTTTGATGAAGTCACTGTATCGCTCGGATTTTCCTGTTTCCCAGTTCTCTCTCAATAACTTCCATCCCATAATTTCACATATTTGAATCACAAGTCACCCATTATTGCCCCTTAATTAATTAGTGTTAGATTCCACCACAAAACACTAATTATATTCAGGAAAAAACGTTTTATTTTTGTTTTAATCTGATATATTTATATTATATTTGATCTGTTTTTCTTACCCAAAGTCATTTTGTTTTTACTGTTATAAAAGTGCCGTTCTAAAGTTTTATACTACCTATATTTTAGTGCTAGTATAAGTGATACTTGACTCGTATATCACTGTTTAATAGCATTAATATGTACTAACATCACTAATCAATGATCTTAGAAGTGCAAAGTTTAAAATCTTCATGTAGAAATACCTAAATAAATTAGTCAAAGTGACATTTATAACGTTACTAAATATTAGTAACAAGTCAAATAATGCTGTTATTTTAGTCCAGATTTTTTGTTTTTGTCTATTCATCAAGGAATATTAAAAAAATAATAAATGAATGAAATAAAATAAATAAATACAAATAAATGAATAAAAATATCTTTAAACTTTCAAACTTTAATGAAACTGAACACAAAAAGTAAAAGCACTATCAAACTATTCATAAAATTTTAAATGTATATATACTTACCGGCCACTTTATTAGGTCCAACTGCCCGTTAATGCAGATTTCTAATCAGCCATTAGCATTTAGGCATGTAGACATGGCCAAGACGATCTGCTGCACTTCAAAGCGAGCATCAGAATGGGGAAGAAAGGGGATTTAAGTGACTTTGAACATGGCATGGTTGTTGGTGCCAGACGAGCTGGTCTGAGTATTTCAGAAACTGCTGATCTACGGGGAATTTCACGCACAACCATCTCTAGGGTTTACAGAGAATGGTCCAAAAATGTCCAGTGAGCAGCAGTTCTGTGGGCGTAATGCCGTGTTGATGTCAAAGGAGAATGGCCAGACTGGTTCCAGCTGATGGAAAGGCAACAGTAACTCAAATAAGCACTCGATACAACCGAGATCTGCAGAAGAGCATCTCTGAACACACAACACGTCCAACCTTGAGGCGGATGGGCTACAGCAGCAGAAGAGCACACCGGGTGCCGCTCCTGTCAGCTAAGAACAGGAAACTGAGGCTACAATTCACACAGACTCACCAAAACTGGACAATAGAAGATTGGAGAAACGTTGCCTGCTCTGATGAGTCTCCATTTCTGCTGCCACATTCGGATGGTCGAGTCAGAATTTGGCATCAGCAACATAGTTGTACCTTAAAATCTGTGCCACGAAGGATTAAAGCAGTTCTGAAGGCAAATGGGGTCCAACCTGTTACTAGTAAGGTGTACTTTATAAAGTAGGCGGTAAGTGTGTATATATATATATATATATATATATATATATATATATATATATATATATATATATATATATAAAACTATATTGTAACCTAATAATAATACTAGTAAATTTTATTTAAGCTTTTCTTAAATTCATACAAACCTAATAATAAAATCAAATTTACAAACTTGCCTACAATCACAGTAACAAACCACACCAAAATAATCAGTATAAAGAATAATAGATGAGAGCAATTAAATATTTTATTTTTAAATTGTAATAAAAATGACAAAAAAACTTTAATTGTATTTGAAATCAAATTAAAGCAGAAACGATTTTTAAAACTATATATACAGTTGAAGGTAAAATGATTTGCCTTCCTGTGCAAAGTTTATTCTTTAATTAATATTTCCCAAATGATGTTTAACAGAGCAAGTAATTTTTCACAGTTCATTTATTTTCTTTTCGCCCTTTAATAATCAGGTGTTGTCACAGCGGAATGAACCACCAACTTATCCAGCAAATGTGTCACAAAGCAGATGCCCTTTTAACCGCAACCCAACACTGGGAAACACCCATACACACTCATTCACAAGCGCTACGGCCAATTTTAGCTTACTCAATTCCCCTATAGCGCATGTGTTTGGACTGTGGGGGAAACCGGAGCACCCGGAAGAAACCAACACAGGGAGAACTTGCAAACTCCACACAGAAATGCCAACTGACCCATCCGGGGCTCAAACCAGCGATCTTCTTTGCTGTGAGGCGATCCTGCTACCAACTGTGCCATTATGACCAATTTTTTCACAGTATTTCCTATAATATTTTTTCTTCTGGAGAAAGTCTTATTTGTTTTATTTAGGCTAGAATAAAAGCAGAGTTTAATTGTTTTAAACATTTTAAGGTCATTATTATTAGCCCCCTTATGCTATATTTGTTTTGGATAGTCCACAGAACAAACCACTGTTATACAATGACTTGTCTAATAACCCTAACTTTACCCTAATTAACCTAATTAAGGCTTTAAATGCCACTTTAAGCTGAATACTAGTATCCTGAAGAATATCTAGTCAAATATTTGTTACTGTCATCATGACAAAGATGAAAAAAATCAGTTATTATTAGGTATATATATATATAATTTTTGAAGCACATGTTGTGTTTCTTCACTGTAGATAATGGTGTGATGTGAAACGTGCATATGCGTGTGAAACAGATGAATGACCCTGAGTGGAGAGACGAGACTCATGTGGAAAGAACGCGCTCAACTCTCCTCTTCTTCTGCTTTGTGGGAGCGTTTTGAGTTTTTGGGGTTGTTGACCTTAAGCCAATATTAACACAGTGACATTCGGCCCACCGCTGCTTCCCCACTCACACTGAAAACCTGCTCACAGCACACACTTTCTGAACAAAACGCTAATTATTCTTCATTTTCAGCACACACTCCAGTCCACTGAGAGACAAACAGGTATGTACAAATATCTAGCATTATTTATGTCAAGATCAGAGTCCATTTCAGGATAGTTTGTTGGTTTTAAAGTGATAAATGTGTAGCATTTAATTGTATTTGTGTTGTATAGAGTAGTAATCAAGCAGTATGCTTGTTTCTCTTTTCAAATATAGTGACTTTATTAGTTTTTAATCGTTGAGTAATAATGACCATAAATACATTCAATATTTCTAATTATTCTAGTACATAAAAGTTTAACTATTATGTACTAAAATACCTAAATATGTGAGGGAAAAAAGCTGATAAAACTAGATATTTATAAGTAAAACTAACGTAAATGCACGACTTTAATGATTAATAAACCATAAAATATTAGAATATTCTTTAAAAGAATGGTAAAAGTTTCTCAGTGCCGAAATTACACCTCCACGAATAGCTTTTATTCATTTTTATATACATTTGTGGTAACACTGTTAATATTCATCAGCATTTATATAAAAATCATAATCTGATCATTTTAAAGTGATAAATATTCACCATTTTATTAGTTTTTTTTTTGTCATATAGTTAGCATTTAGCAGTGCATTTGTTGGTTTCCCTTTTCAAATATTGTGACTATTAGTTTTTAATGACGAATAGTCAAGTAATAATGTATAAATACGTAAAAAAATATGTTTCAGTATTTCCCATTTTTCATCGTTTAACTTTATGTACTAAAATAACTAAATATGTGAGCAAAAAAGCTGATAAAACTCGATATTTTGAAGTAAAACTAACATAAATGCACAACTTAATAATGAATAAACCATAAAATATTAGAATATTAAGCAGAAGAAATGATAAAAGTGTCTCAATGCTGAAATAACTCCTTCAGGAATAGCTTTTAGTCAATTGTATATACAATTTTTGTAACACTTTTTGTTAATATTCATCACCATTTTTGCAATAATCATAATCTGATGGTTTTAAAGTGATACATATTCAGCATTTTATGACATTTTTTAATTATATAGTCAGCATTAAGCAGTGCATTTGTTGGTTTCTCTTTTCAAATGTTGTGACTTTATCAGTTTTTAATGATGAAGTCGAGTAATAATGACCATAAATACATTTTAATATTTCCTATTTTTCATTGTTTAACTTTTATGTATTAAAATAAGTAAATATGTGAGCAAAAAAGCTGATAAATCTAGATATTTTTTAAGTAAAACTAACGTAAATGCACGACTTAATAATTAATAAAACATTAAAAAAATTTGAATATTCAGCAGAAGAATGAGAAAAGTATCTCAATGCTGAAATTACTCCTTCACCAATAGATTTTATTCATTTTTATATACATTTTTGGTAACACTATATTAATATTCATCACCATTTATGTGAAGATCATAATCTGATGGTTTTAAAGTGATAAATATTCAGCATTTAATTAGGTTTTTTTATCATATAGTCAGCATTAAGCAGTGCATTTGTTGGGTTCTCTATTCAAATACAGGGACTTTATTAGTTTTTATTAATTAATTGTCAAATAATAATAATATTAATCATTAATCTTTATACTGTTTAACTTTTATGTACTGAAATAACTAAATATGTGACCAAAAAGCTGATAAATCTAGATATCTTAGAAATAAAACAAACGTAAATGCACGACTTAATAAAAAACATAAAACATAAAATATTAGAATATTCAGCAAAAGAAATTATAAAAGTGTCTCAATGCTGAACTAACTCCATCAGGAATAGCTTTTAGTCATGTTTATATACATTTTTGGCAACACTATATCAATATTCATCACCATTTATGCAGTAATCATAATCTGATGGTTTTAAAGTGATGAATATTCAGCATTTAATGATTTTTTTTGTCATATAGTCAGCATTAAGCAGTGCATTTGTTGGTTTCTCTATTCAAATATAGCGACTTTATTAGTTTTTATTAATTATTAGTCAAATAATAATAATTTTAATAATTAATCTTTTTACTGTTTACCTTTTATGTACTAAAATAACTAAATATGTGACCAAAAAGACGATACATCTAGATATTTTAGAAATAAAACTGACGTAAATGCACGACTTAATAATTACTAAACCATAAAATATTAGATTATTATTTTGAAGAATGATAAAAGTGTCTCAATGCTGAAATAACTCCTTCAGGAATAGCTTTTAGTCAATTGTATTTACAATTTTGGTAACACTTTTTTTGGTAACACCATTTATGTGAAGATCATAATCTGATTATTTTAAAGTGATAAATATTCAGCATTTTATTATTTTTTTTTTGTCATTTAGTCAGCATTAAGCAGTGCATTTGTTGGTTTCTCTATTCAAATATAGTGACTATATTAGTTTTTAATGATGAATAGTCGAGTAATAATGTATAAATACGTTTCAATATTTCCCATTTTTCATCGTTTAACTTTTATGTACTAAAATAACTAAATATGTGAGCAAAAATATGATAAAACTAGATATTTTGAAGTAAACAAACGTAAATGCACGACTTAATAATAAACCATAAAATAGATTATCCAGCAGAAGAAATGTTAAAAGTGTCTCAATGCTGAAATAACTCCTTCACCAATAGCTTTTATAAATTTTTATATACATTTTTGGCAACACTTTATTTTAATATTCATCAGCATTTATGTGAAAATCATAATCTGATGGTTTTAAAGTGATGAATATTCAGCATTTAATGATTTATTTTGTCATATAGTCAGCATTAAGCTGTGCATTTGTTGGTTTCTCTATTCAAATATAGCGACTTTATTAGTTTTTATTATTGAATAGTCAAATAATAATAATCATTTTGTTGTGGCCACCTCTAATAAATAAAGGGACAAAGCCGAAGGAAAATGAATGAATGAATGTTACTGTTTTTAATAACTTATATGGGTGCAACCTGGGGATTTGTGGGTTGACTGGGTTACAATAAACTAATTGTACTCTAATGACAGTTTATTCATATAGCACTATTAAAAACAGCCCAGGGTGACCAATGTGCTTAACAAGAACTAAAAACCACAAGCAACAAGAATAAAGCAAATTTAAAATAGAATAAATAAAAGAACAAAAGCGATTTTAGAAAGAAAAGGCAGTAAAATACCGCAGTCGAAGTCAAAATTATTTGCCCTCCTGTGTAATACTATTATTATTATTTTCACATATTTCCCAAATGATGTTTAACAGATTCAGGAATTTTTCACAGTATTTCCTATAATATTTTTTCTTCTGGAAAAAGTCTGATTTGTTTTATTTCGGCTAGTTTTTTAATTTTTTAAACCCGTTTTAAGGTCAATATTATTAAACACTTTAAGCAATGTTTGTTTTGGATTGTCTACAGAACAAACCATCGTTATACAATAACTTGCCTAATTACCATAACTTTACCCTATTTAACCTAGTTAAGTCTTTAAATGTCACTTTAAACTGAATACTAGTATCCTGAAGAATATCTAGTCAAATATAAATATAAAAGAAATCAGCTGTTTGAGATAAGTTATTAAAACTATTATGATTAGAAATGTTTAGATCTCTCTGTTGAACAGAAATTGGGGAAACAATATACAGAGTGTGTGTTTCAGGATGGCGGTGATGGTGCTGCAGGTGCTGGGCTTGTTTCTGGGGATCGTGGGCTGGTGTTTGGAGTCCAGCTCTATAAACTCGTCTGTGTGGAAGAGCAGCAGTCATGGGGAAGCGGTGGTGACGGCCAGCTCGCAGTTCGAAGGCCTCTGGTTCTCCTGCGCCTCAAACTCACTGGGAGCCATTCACTGCCAGAGGTTCAAGACCACTCTGGGTCTGCCAGGTCAGAGTCACTCACATCCAGCAGAGGGAAAATCCTAATCAATTAAAAGTACCACTACTTGCCAGAATGTGAAGAATAAGCTCAATAGTTTTGAAACGTGTCAGTCAATATGGTGAATGATGCCACACCTTCTGATTTAGGAGCCAGTCATTGATCGATATAGACTGATCTGCTTCTCCGGGGGAGGGACTCTGAGCAGATGTGCGTTCATGACAGTTTCTGCAGCTTCATTATGAATCCTCTGGGCCCGGTTTTTCAAAAGGTTTAATCCGGATAAAACTGATCCAGATTTAGTAATTCTGTTTTTGTAATCATAATAGTGTTAATAACTCATCTCTAATAACTGATTTATTTGATCTTTGCCATGATGACAGTAAATAATATTTAACTAGATATTTTTTAAGACACTTCTATACAGCTTAAAGTGACATTTAGGGCCTACTCACACTTTGCTATTCGAACCGTGCCCAGGCCCGTTTCCCGGATCGTTTATGAAGTGTGAGTGCACTGAATCGGGCTCAAGCACAGTTCACTTGGCCGGCCCTGGCCCGGTTGGAAGAGGTGTGCCTGAGCCCGGTTCACTTGGGCTTTGGCACGGTACGCTTGTAGTGTGAGTGCAAAACGTGCCAAAGCCTGAAACTGAAAGCGAGACGTGACTTTAAGGGACTGTTTCATAGGATTTATTAATCATTCGGTTAAAAAATCCTGTTTATGCGATCCGTGATCACGTAATCCAGCTTACTTTTTGAGCCAGTTTTTCTAAGCAACATCGGATTGGATCAATCTGATCCGGATAGGAACTTTTTAGGATCACTAAATCTGAATGACCTGGGCCCGGTTTTTCAAAAGTAATCCACTAGGATTTTGGATAAGGGATTGGATCAAATCTTGAAAATGGGTTTTTTAAAAGAAAAAACGGATTACATAATCGGATTAGATCACGTAATCTAATCTTGGTTTTGATCCGGATCAAACCTTTAGTTTGGGTTTTTCAGACCTTTTTTGTAGGATCTGGATCACTTTGATTCAAAAAACCTGGATTAAACTGATCTCATCAGAAGGGTGGATTTAGTGTGGATTTCATGCCCGAAATGTAATGAAAACTTAAAAATGTATTAAATAATACCATTTTTGGATCATACAGTATCTTAAGAGATATACTATTTATTCATAAGGTTTTAATTTTATTTATTCATCCGTCAGGCTATAGTGAGTATTGGCTTTAACGTATTCAGCCTTTCAGTATAGGCCTACAGCAAAGTAGAAAGAGTTTGGCCTCATAAAATAATCCCCCAAACAGCTGTGAAAACAGACCAAAAACAATCAATTTTATTATGTCACTACTTGATATATATATTCATCATAATGAAAAAATATTTTTCTTTTTAGAATATTTATTAGTGATGCATGCGATGATTACAGAATAACAAAAAAGTGCAAAGAATGGCAATGTCTGATTTTTGAAATCTCTTTCAACAATTACAAAAAGAGACTTAAAGGGCAGAGAAACAACTGACTCTGACCAAACTGCAGCAAACCAAGGCCAATGACTTGAGATCCGCCTCCTAAAGGCTACGCTCAGACAAGCTGCTCTCTCCACATCAGATGAGGAAGTCTGACATTATTGTGGAGTTTTTGACATTAAGTCTTTTTTTATTTACATCTAAATTTGAAACTTATTATAAATATCCTCACTGTACAGTGTTGTAGGTCTCAGATGAGCGGACTGCTGGAAGAGGATGGGGTGGGTTTTTCTTGTTTTTATTATTTATTATTATTTTAATAATTATTCAATTTTCTTAGTTTTCATTTCAAATAAAAATAAAGTTATATTGACCCCACGCTGGCTATTCTACTCTTTACATATCTATAGTTCTACATTGTGATGTCCTATCCTGTTTGAGCACTGGTTATCCAAATTTAGTGATCCTGAAAAGTTCCTATCCGGATCAGATTGATCCAATCCGATGTTGCTTTGAAAAACTGGCTCAAAAAGTAAGCTGGATTACGTGATCACGGATCACAAAAACAGGATTACTAAATCTGGATTAAATTTTATCCGGATTAAACCTTTTGAAAAACCGGGCCCGGGCCCGGGCCCTGCAACCCGTGATCACGTAATCCAGCTTACTTTTTGAGTTTTTCAAAGAAACATCGGATTGGATCAATCTGATTCGGATAGGAACTTTTCAGTATCACTAAATCTGAATAACCAGTGCTCAAAAAGGACAGAAAATCACAATGTAGAACTATAGATATGTAAAGAGCAACAAGTAGAATAGCCAATGTGGGGTCAATATAACTTTTATTTTTATTTAAAATGAAAACACACACATTTAAAAAAAGCTACATACAAGAAAAACCCCAGCCCATCCTCTTCCAGTCTACTCATCTGAGACCTACAACACTAACACTCTACACTGAGGATGCGTATAACAAGTTTCAAATATAGATGTATTGAATTAATGTCAAAAACTTCACAGTAATTTCAGACTTCCTCATCTAATGTGGAGAGACCTGGGGCCTCATGTACGAAGACTTGCGTTGAATCCATACTAAAACATTGCATATGGACAAAGCTGTAAATGTGTGTACACAGTAAAAATTCAGATGTATGAAACACTGCGTACACTGAATCCCATGCATAGTCTCTTTGTACATCCGACTTAACGTGAAACTGAGCGCACGTGCACAAGCACAAAACCCCTCCTGCCCCCTCCCCCGTATGAATATGCTAATGACTCTACTTTGGCAAAACCCAACGAAAAAGCAACGGCAAAAGCAAGCAAGAAGAGAAACTCTGAACAGAATGTGAATTGGAGGTGCTGCTTTCAGAGGTAGACCAGAGAAAAACTGTGTTATTTGCAAGTTTGTCCTCCGGAATTAATAACAAAAGAAGAAAAAATAGAGTGGGAGAGTTTAGCTGACGCGGTTAACACATTTGGGTCTGAACATCGCACTGTGAGTGAATTAAAAAAGAAATAGTCTGATGTAAAGGTGTAAAATATTGTAGGGTCTATTTAGGCTAAGTGCAAATAGCACACCCTGTTTGGAATGAGCTAGATGAGTAGCGTAGCCCGTAAAGAGCACGGCAACATGTTTAGACACAATCGATCATGAAAATCCAGCGTCTGATGAACTCATCCACTACATTTCAGATTTTGCCTAGTCTTCATCACGAGGAAGACAAGTAGGAATCATTAATAAGTGTGTGTATTATGTGAAGCGCATTTGAGCATCAAATATTATTTGCACATTTATTGAATGGAAATGTTTATGATTCACGTATGCAAATTCGTCTTCAGATGGCGCCTTCATAGCAATGAGCGTGCAGTCGATCGATTCGATTAGATTGGGAAAACCGGCGATCGCTGCTAAATGCTCTTTAATGTTAGCGGGGGGGGGCTTGTTGTCACGCGCGTTCTGATCAGCGGTGTCGTCGCGCGCGTTCTGATCAGCGGTGTTGTCGCGCGCATTCTGATCAGCGATGTTGTCGCGCGCGTACTGCGCCTTCTGAAGCGCGGTATGTGTCGCGGGGGCACTTTTGAGCATTTTGGAAGGGAACTTTCTATCCAAGTATAAAAAGGGCATGTGCACTGCACAGGTTGAGCCCCATGTGTGCACGTGCCTGGTGATGAATATATACAGTTGAAGTCAGAATTATTAGTCCCCCTGAATAATTAGCCCCCCTGTTTATTTTTCCCCCAATTTCAGTTTAAAAGAGAGAACATTTTCTTAACACATTTCTAATCATAATAGTTTTAATAACTCATCTCTAATAACGGATTTATTTTATCTTTGTCATGATTACAGTAAATAATATTAGACAAGATATTCTTCAAGACACTTCTATACAGCTTAAAGTGACATTTAAAGGCTTAACTAGGTTAATTAGGTTAACTAGGCAGGTTAGGGTAAATAGGCAAGTTATTGTAGAATGGTTTGTTCTGTAGACAATCAAAAAAAATAGCTTAAAGGGGCTCATAATTTTGTCCTTAAAATGGTGTTTAAATAATTAATGACTGCTTTTATTCTAGCTGAAATAAAACAAATAAGACTTTCTCCAGAAGACAAAATATTATCAGACATACTGTGAAAATTTCCTTGCTCTGTTAAACATCATTTGGGAAATATTTAAAAAAATTCAAAGAGGGCTAATAATTCTGACTTCAACTGTATATCAATTAGTGACAGAATAAAATGTATTGTATTTTGACAGCTGTTTGGGGGATTATTTTATGAGGCCAAACTCTTTCTACTTTGCTGTAGACCTATACTGAAAGGCTGATTACATTAAAGCCTACCCAATCACTGTGGCCTGACGGATGAACAAATACAATTAAACCTTCTGAATAAATAGGATATCTCGTAAGATACTGCATGATCCAAATATAGTATTGTTTGATAGATTTTTTTAAGTTTTCATTACATTTTGGCCATTAAATCTATGTTGAATCCACCCTTCTGATGGGATCAGTTTAATCCAGATTTTTTGGATCAAATGGCTTGTTTCCACTGACTGGTACAGTACGGTACGGTTTGGGTTGGTACGGGTCACCTTTATCAGGCTTGCGTTTCCACTACCAAGGGTACCCTTTTGGTGGGTGTGGTGTACGACAAAGTTTCAGTCACATCATTCTTCTGCTCTACTCCATGGCTTTGGGGCTGTTCATCAACACGACGGTTTGTTTGAGCCCGGATCGACCATGGCTCGTAATTATATGTATATATAGTTCCGCTGTAATCTCTCGCTGTGTATTTCAAACATGGCGGGTATTTTGTTTTCATTCTGGCTTGTTGCGTAAGCGAATGAAATATCTCTGTAAACCAATAGCGTTCAGCTGTGCGTCTAGATCCACCTTTTGGTACCCTTTCTCGTGTTTGGTACCTTTTAGAAAGGGTGCCAAAAAAGTGGTACGGTACGGTTCAGTTTGGTACGCCTTTTGACAGTGGAAACGGCCATTAAAGCGTACCGTACCACTCAGTGGAAACGGGCCAAA